AGTTTGCGGCTAAACCGTTTGATTTTTAAAAAGTATTATTTTATGAATTGTCCGACGCCTACCGAGCGCACATTTAAAAAATATTTTTGTAATGTACAGGATGTCCCAAAGGCTCTAAAGGTATCAAAGTTGCGTTTTTTTAAATCGAATGTCCTGTATATTATTGCATTTTTGGATTCGCTGAACAAAATAAGTGTCTGTTTTAATAAGGTTTATAATACCTAAATCTTAAGGTTTTTTAAATAATACGAATTTAATAAAAATCTGATCTAATTTTCACGTGTCTAATACTTTAGAAGTATTTAAGTTATGTAAGTGTAATTTATAGTGAAGTGAAACAAGATGTAATATTTTATATCCCAATGATAATAAACTTACCATATTATACAGGGTGTCCACAAATTTAAACTAATCAAATAAGAACTTTAAGTGACTCTAACTTGATTAATTTAAATACAACCCCATAATTTTTAACTTACCAGGAAATGAAATTTTTAATTGCCTATCGAATGGTATTAGGATGTTAATAGCTAAGTTTTTGCTTTTTACAAAATACGTCAAATAGTCGTTCTGTGCACCATTTGGTGATGTTTATGTTAAGGTTCCAATGTATCTAAGTTGGCTATGCCATTTGAACATGTCAAATAATTTAATTTATTTGTCAGTTTAGACTGCAAAGTCTAAACTGACTGAAACTTTTTGATAGCTGGAGTGGTATTGTTTTTTGTAATTGTAGACGTGTTGGTCGTTATTTTAGTATTATTATTGTGTTGCTAAGTTGAAATGAAGAATTATCCAAGAGAAGAGCGTATTGACATGATTTTCACCCTTGGAGAATGTCAAAAATTATTTATTGGCTTCTCGAGTTTATGCTCAAAAGTTTCCTGAAAGAAATGATCCTAAGCCAACAGTTTTTAAGCGCTTATTACACCAGTTTGAGGAAACTGGGAGTGTCAATTATAAAAAACCCATTACAAGGAAATCTGTCACTGAAGATGAAGAAAATGTTTTCGCGGTAATTGGTTCAGTTATCGAAAATCCCAATGTTAGTCAAAATCTAATATCCAAAAGTACTAACATTAGTCAATCAAGTATTGCCAGAATTATCAAAAATCACAACTTTTATCCTTCATTCAAATTCAACTTTGCCAAGATCTTTATGGAAATGATTTTGAAAACCGAACTGAGTTTTGCATGTGGGTGTTAGTTAAAATGGCAGAAAATGAAAAGTTTTTCGAAAATGTGTTATTTAGTGATGAATGTACTTTTCACAACAATGGTCTCGTGAATAGACACAACTTTCATTATTATTCTGATACGAATCCGCGCTCATACAATATTTAATTGGACCCTATTTTTTTGAAAGACATTTAAATGGTTTGATTGCTGGAATGACGAATCAACATGTGTCTTCAATTCGATGGAGCTCCGCCTCATTATTGGCAGAAATGGGTTTCAAAATTGCCCCCCAGATCTCCGGCCTTAACTCCACTAGATTTCTTTTTGTGGGGTACATAAAAGGAATTGTCTACCATACGCTTCCGACAACTTCACACGATATGAAATCACGCATAAGAGACGCTTTTAAAACTGTAACTC